CGACAGGATCCTGCTCTGGAACAGGTAACTGAACAGATTCAATGTATTAGGATCAGTGCAGGCAAAGAAAGTCACAGTACGATTGCTTTTATATTTTATACTAGACACAAGGTGAAAAATATTATCTGGGCACACTGACCATTATTTTTAAATATGACATCATACTGACTGCAAACTCAATGATAAAAGTGTAATAAGCTAAAATGATCATCATCCTAAGAGTTCATCATGAATTTATTTTGCGATTTTAAATCCAAACTGAATTTTAAAATCTTCAGCTGCTGATGACTGATATCATCTGATAACAGGGAATAGACAAGGAAGAATCCTCAGATGGATACAAAAGAATCAAGAAACCACACCCAGACAAGTACCTGCAAACTGAGCGTACTTTCAGCCTCAAAGCCGACAACACAAGTGCAAAAATTCAACCAAAGGTAAAGTTTGTGCTACATGTGAGAGAGTATAACACCCCTGCCTGTGCCATCTTTTTGATTGATGGCCCCACTCTTGACCTTTTGACCCTACCGGAAGTACTCCGGAAGTGACTAATCGAATCCAGATGTGTGTAATATGGAATCCATTAGACACTTCCAGAGTACCCCCCTCCCCCACAGGATGCAATTCGTCGCGCTTATGGATCATATTACACACATCTGGATTCGATTAGTCACTTCCGGAGTACTTCCGGTAGGGTCAAAAGGTCAAGGCTGGGGCCATCAATCAAAAAGATGGCAGAAAGCAGGGGTGTTATACTCTCCCTCGTGTGTGTGTGTGTGTGTGTGTGTGTGTGTGTGTGTGTGTGTGTGTGTGTGTGTGTGTGTGTGTGTGCGCTCACAGAGGTATTTTAAAGTTCCTTTGTTTTTGTTTTTCAAACACAGGAGTTAACCCTCAGATACAATAGGCAAAACTTCTATGAGGTGTACGTTAAGAATCCAGGCAGTGAACTCATACTTACACTGGTGCACACTCACCCAGCTGATGGTGAACCAGCTGATGAGCCACTATGGGAATGTGAAATTCGATCAGGTCAGTGGTTATGAAGCAATATTACCCACACTGTTACTAATATAAGAAATACTGTATGTCATATAATGTCAAATGTAAGATGTTTTTTCCATCAAACTTAAAAGAGTCTGCAGCAGTTTGATTGACACTGTTTCCAAAAGTATTCACTCGCTCATCCACATCCTTTCATTCATGTGTTAAAATCGCTTCCATGGCCTCAGGTGTATAAAATCAGCACTAAGACATGCAGACTCTTCTACACACATGTGAAAGAATCACTCGTTCTCAGGAGTTCAGTGGTCCTGTGATAGGACGCCACCTGTGCAACAAGTGTCGAGTCGCACATTTTGAAGCCAGTATGATAACCTTATCCCACCAATGCTGTGGACGTCCAGCTTTTCAGAAGCAGCAGAGCGGGGCATATCGACCCTCCTCTTATATGGGATCAGTGACCCCTCCGCCTGCCGTTGGGTACTCTTTCATCCTTTGTTCTTTCTTTTCATCTTCCACGTATGATGCATAACTTTCTGACCCTGCCCCATAACTTTTACATCCATCATTGAATTGGCTCACTTTGTCAGTTTGATGAGAAAACGGCAGTTAACAGTTAATCAATTTGACAATTTTGTCAGGTACGCATGCCAGACGTAAGCTGCTTTCTATGCCGAGTAAAGGTTTTTCTTGCCTTCTGGTGGCTGAGGTGAGAACCAGAATCCCAGCTTCACGCACAGGGGGCAGGTTTGTTTGCCGTATAGGCATCGAAAGGGCTGGACACAGCGTGAGGCGCTACAGATAAACGCAGAGAAAGTGTCCTATGCGCATACTTTAGCAGTGCCAAAGTAACCTTTGTTTGAACCAGTCACCTTTGGCCAATAACACAGTCAAAGGTTACTTATTGATCCTAACTAGTACATTTTCAAACAGTATTGATCAGCATGTGTTTATACAATAAAGGGCACAAACTTCATTAATATTATTGAAGATAATCTTTGACCTAAATATGTGGGTCTTGTGATTTTGAACGAGTAGAAAAAATACTCCAGTATAAGTATATATTTAGTATATAGAAGTATATATGATTACATATGTGAGTATATGTCCAGTGTGTACAGGTACATATGTCATATATATCATAGAAAATCCACAACATTAGTGCTGTGGTGAAATTCCCTTGCTACAAAATATTATACATACAGTCAGCTGTTAGTGGTATTATAACAAAGAACGACAGCCAATCAGCCACAAAGTGACGGGCCACGTAAAATCACAGAGGCCTCCAACTTTCTGCAGAGTCAGTCGCTACAAACTTCACGTGGCCTTCAGATTAGCTCAACAACAGTGCATAGAGCGTTTCAGAGAATGGGTTCCCATGGCAACCAGCTGCTTGAACACTCGGCTTTATTCAGATGAAACTTTCATATTTAACTCTAATGTCAAGTATCCATATTTTGATTTTCCTTGAATTCCAGATGACCATCCAGAGTCTGGTCAAGCCGAAGGTAAGATATCACACGAAAGGAGCATTTAGACGAACCTTTTACTCAGATTATAAATGAATGATTTTATTCTTCTTTTTTTTTAGTAGACCAGAGTTTAGTGGAATATTCTTTGGTGTAGTTATTTAATTGTTTTAATTCGGTGGCACTGAGTCTCTAATGTTTCAGTTTGCTGGCATAATGAAATTTAAAAAGTTTGAACATTTGTTAAGAAATTAAAAACTTTCCTTGTTATTTTTAACAGCTGCAGGATCCTCAGTGGGAGCAGCTGTAATTGTAAATGTTGGTCAAGGAAATAACTTCGGACATGGTGTGTTTTAAGGCACTGTAAAACACACGGAACACTATTAACCCTCTCAGGCTCAAATTACGTTTTTGTTGCTAATGCACAAAAGAATACCTGATTTTTCAACTTCAGTTGTTGTGAAGTTTAAAAATCCATAAAAAACTGATTTTTTTTTTTTTTTTTACCGATTTTTACATTCAGTGTGGTCTTGACCCAAATTTCACCAAAATTAAATCAGCTCGAGCTGTTCTCAGTATCTACCATCACCCAGAATCTGAAAATGTTATCCTGAAAACTGTGGATGCTAGACTGCTAATAGACAACCCAACCAAACAGAAGTGATCACATGCTCACTCTCTTTAATCAAAACGTTCAAAGGGACAGGAAGTGCTTCACAGAGATGGCAAAAAGTACAAGTACAAAAAAAGAAGAACAAAACAGAGTCAGAGAAATATGAAGAAGATGACACAGATGACGAGAGACGGAGGGAGAACCAGTAAAAACACCAAACATTAGTAAAGGAAAACTGAAGGAGGGACAAAGAACAAACTAGCACAGACAGACAGGATGATCTGGAGCTGATGCTGTTAGGTATCAGCTTGTGATAAGAAACAAAATGGCACCATTTATTACAGAAAGGTTTTAGAAAAGAGCTCCATAGAACAGAAGTATGGTTTACTTGGAGAGGAAAGGATGCTGGTTTGATTCCAGTCAGAGGCACAAATCCCCCTTTGTGTTATGTCAGGAAGGGTATCGGCTGTAAAACTGCCAAATCAAACATCTGCAGTGACCCCGTATGGCAGGGCGCAGTTGAACGTAGCTTATTTCAAAACATATTTTTCAACATTATTCTGAAATTGCATTGAAATGGTCTGAAACCAAATCTCAGACATGACGGCTACACCTGTTTAATCAGATGACACAGCTCATTATTAAACTGATGCATCAAACAATGACATCAAGCGTCCATATTCCAATTTTTCTTACATTAAACGTGTCATCCAGTTTCTGGCCACGTTGCAGGTTAGAGAATTACATATATTACATATATATAATAAGTATTTATGTTGTGTTAGAGCTGAGATGACCCCTTATACAGGAGATACTGGACTGGTTTTGTCATGATCCTGGGTCCTTTGACCCAGCGTTTTGTGTTTTCTCTTCGCGATTTTGGTTCTGTTCTTCCTCTGGTTAGTGTTTACTCTGTTCTGCCCGTGTGTTCCTGTATCTAGTCCGCGTTTCTTAGTTTGTGTCCTTTCATGTGTAAGTTCCTGTTTTATTGTGAAGGTCTGCATCTTATGTGAGTGTTTTCAGTTTGCCTCCCTAGTCTCGTCATGTTAATCACTGCCAGCTGTGTTTCCCACCTGTGTGTAATTGCCCTGTGTTCTCTGGGTGTATTTAAGTTGTGTTTTCTGTCTTAGTAGTGCTGGTTCGTCTGTGTTGTTTCCCCTCTGTCTCCCTGCGTCTCTCCATATGTATTTCCCCGGACCTCCCTGCATCTTCGTTTCTGGTTTGTGTTATTAGTTTACCCAGTTTAGGTTTCCAGTTTCATGTTTTCCCACCATTGCTGTTTGTACCCTCCCTTGTAAATAAATACTCACCTGCACCAGAGCTGCCGCGTCTTGGTCCTAAATATTCCACACGGCTTGCCCTGGCAAACCGTGACAGGTTTAAAGGTTTGGGGTCTCTTTTACTGTAGAGTATTACTCTAGTAGTAATCACCAGAAATCAGTTTAAGCTGCTGGTGGGGAGACTCGCCTCCCTGTAACTGCCTTTGTCTGCGTGCCTGCCCTTCTGTCTCTAGCAATATAACTAACTAACTAGCCCAACAAATGAAATTATCACTAGTGCAATCATTAAAAAGTAAAAATGTAGGAAAGCAGAGGAACTACAGTCTGTGTTTCCATTAGACATTTATATTAGTTTGCTGTTATCATGGCAGATAATCAGACCAATTAATTTATTGAAGTAAATTTTCCTCAAAAACTTAGAGCAACCTTTTATTGATATTATAAATGAATGATTTTTTTTTTTTTTTTTTTTTTTTTTTAGTAGACCAGAGTTTAGTGGAATATTCTTTGGTGTAGTTGTTTAATTGTTTTAATTTGGTGGCACTGAGTCTCTAATGTTTCAGTTTGCTGGCATAATGAAATTTAAAAAGTTTGAACATTTGTTAAGAAATTAAAAACTTTCCTTGTTATTTTTAACAGCTGCAGGATCCTCAGTGGGAGCAGCTGCTGTCAGCTCTCAGTCGGCTGGTAGGCTCATCAATGTTACCTGTTCTGTGGTTTTATATAATGTGACACATAGAATGCATAAATCGAGTCAGTTCTACTTTTACCACCAGTTTTTAGCACCAGTTAACGAATGTTTCTAGATGTTAAAGAATTCAACAGTACTTGTGGTAAAATACCAAATATAGAACTGAACCACATAGTGCCATTTTCTGTATGAAGCTGCTGGCTCTGTGGACATGAGGACGATCAGTTTGAGATATTCTCAGATATCTATTGTTTGCAGCACTGAACTGGTGTCCCTGACTTGACTGAAGACAGGTGGGATAGAGTTTTATCCTTAATGGGGACGATGTTCAGGAAACTGGAAGTGTCAGCAGGTGTTCTAAGGAGCTCGGAAAGAAAAGCATCTGGACGTCTTTCAGTTTCTTGAAGACGTTTCATCCGAGAAGCTTCTTCAGTACTAAGAGCGACTGGTGGAGCGTCCCAGATTTTAAGCCCTATGGGAGTGTCCCCAAGAGGGTCGTGGACCCCCTATTGATCCTCTGCCTAATCACATGAGCAGTACTAGAAAAATTACCATTCCTGGTGCAACTCTGTAAGCCTTAGTCTTCTGCAAGAACAACACATTTCACAGCTGTCTGTGGCTGTTTTATCATGTCATCAATACTTGCATGCAATGTGGCAGCTGTTGGAGAGATGTGATATAAAACTCTACAGAAAGATCCACAGTAAACACTGGAGTGGAGCTTGAATCTGAGGCTGAAGAAGATGAGGAGCAAGACGGTGCACTGCAGTGCTCGCACTGTGTACACTTCTCTGTCTCGCTCACCTTCCTGTGAACTCATCAAAATAATGCAGAGCAACAAAATCTGCAACCTGGGGCAGTCCTTATTAAGGGTTACTTACTGTGGACCACATCTCAGAGTGTTCATATTTAATATCGCTGATGCTGTGATTCTTATATTTACATAACACAATAATATCAGCTGGACAGGAAATGTTTGAAAGGCTGCCTGAATCATTAAAGAAGGGTCTGATGTGATCAGCACCTGGATGTGAGCTGATTGTCAGCAAAGTTTCCTTCACTTTGTCTGAAAGTCAGTCTTGGCTGTTGGATCATAGAGAGTGATGGATTCAGGATTTGCTGATTGGGCATTTTGTGACAGAGAAAAGTTGTTTCATTTATTATGTATCATGTATTTATTTTATTACAAAACTTTACAAGTAAAGATAATCTCATTTTTATGTCCTTTCTCAGAGGAAAACACTGTGGACAAACATCTGTCTGCACGGATGCAGAAAGTAAGTAGAACCAAATGATTCTGTCCTCACACCACAGCTTCACATAATTCAATACTTATACCTGTTATTAAAAAATGATCATGTGTGATGGTTTTGTTTACTTATTAATCAGTTATCCTCTAAGAAGGTTATTATTAAATCACTTTGTTTGTTCTCAGGCATTAACAGTCCACTCAGACAGAGAGAAGCTTTTGGAAATGTTGGAAGATCTGAAAAAGGAGGAGCTTGAAAAGTTCAAGTGGTTCCTGCGGGACCGTGATGTTTTGGTGGAGCTCCAACCCATCTCAGAGAGCAAACTGGAGAAGGCCAGCACCTGTGACCTGGTGGACCTGGTGGTGCAGACCTACACAGAAAAGTCTGTGGAGGTGACCAAGAAGGTTTTTAGGAAAATTAACAGAAATGATCTGGTGCAGAAGTTATCAGACAGCAGCTCATGATGCAAAGGTAACAATCAAAATGGCATCATTGATTTTATGAATATTTTACTTAATCCAAAATACTTTTGTATAGTTAGATTTGTAGCTTCTGAATTTATTTTCAGTGCACTACATGATTGTAGTATGGAAAGTAGCAGAGAGTCTGACTGACTGTCCAACTGACTCTGACATGAGGGAGAGTTTATAATGTAGGAGCAGATTTGAGGTTAAAATACAGGAAATAACATCTATTTGAAAATTACTGGTGTGTGTGTGTGTGTGTGTGTGTGTGTGTGTGTGTGTGTGTGTGTGTGTGTGTGTGTGTGTGTGTGTGTGTGTGTGTGTGTGTGTGTGTGTTCGTGTTCTTAGGTTGATGCAAACATGAGGATGAGATCAAGATTTTTGAAGCATTTTTTATGTTAATATTTAATCTTTTCATTTTATTTTAACTTTCTCTTTTTAATTTTCTGTTCTCATGTTTTTATTTTCTGCAGAATTATTTCAGGTTTAAACGTGTAGAAATGATCTGACAGTGATTTCATTTCCTTCTTTCATAGAAACACATTCTGTTTGTTTCTAGCAGCGCAGTTTGTAAAAAGACGGCATTTGTTGTGCTTTTCTTTGTTTTCATTTATACACTTTCAAATTTACGATAATGAGATCATCATGTTTACAGATACTCACTGTGAGACAAACACTCAGGTTTATGTGGTTTTTTTAACTTCTGTAATGTGTGATGTCATTGAGGGGCGGTATCCTAATACTGCTGATCTCCAGTTCTGGCCCTTTTCACAGAAGCTCCACCCACTTGTCCCTCAAACCTTCTGTTTGTGGGAAACAGCCAATAAGAACAAAGTTGCCTTAAAGGGAGAGGAGTAAAAAAGAAGCTTGTTTCAGAGAGGATGAGGAGCTACAACCAAACCAAGTATAAGAAAAATGAGGATGATTTTGAACTGTGACTCAGACAAAGCTACTCGAGTACAGTCCAAAATTAAAAATATTAACCTGAAAATGAGCATTATATGTATAATTACATACAAAAATATCATGAACAGCTTTATGATTCTCATTTTGTTGAAGACGATAAATCCATGTCACAGTATAAATGTGCCACATAAAGAAAAGTCTTCCAGAATAATTTTACATTAACACCATATGAACTCTGTTATCTTCTGTCTTTTGTTCTTGTGGTCGATGCTCAGTCTGGTTTGGAGTGAAGCCTGAATGAGAAAAGTTTCCAAGGTTAGAAGTTACTGAGGAACATCATGACCTGCATCTGTTACTGCCATGTTTCTCACATTTTAAGAAGTTTTGACGACTGCTTTGAAGATAAACTGGAGAATTTTATACTTTTTAATCTTTAATATCCTGCTTTAATCATTGTTTTGTGTTTTTTAATTCCCTTTTAAGCACGTCACTAAACATTTTATATTGGCTTTCTACTAAATATAGCCACATAAATACAATTGTTCTTTATCAATAAAATATTTTTTCGGATACATCAGGGAGCAACATTGGTGTCTATTAACTATTTGCTGTCAGAAACTCGTTCAATTTTTAACATTTTAAAATCTGTAAAAACACGTCTTTCATGTTTATACGCACGGTGAAACTTTTGCTGGAATGAAGCGGCCTAAAAACAATGAAACAATGTACAATGAAGATCACTCAGTAAGATGATTGCTGTGCTTTTGTATTTTAAGAGATGAGATGTTCAGGTCAGTCTTTATTTTCCTACAGGATCATTTTGATTTGCAGCATCAGTCAGTCAAACTGAAATATCACAAAATGAGAAAGATCAACACATAAATAACAGTAAGAATGAGGAATAGTTAAATGAATGACTAAAAGTACATTAAAATGATGGAAGCAGTCAATAAGAAACGTTACAAACATCAGAAATGTCAGACCGGGATCGGACGGCTTTATTTACACAGAACTGGATGTTTCCTGACTCTGAGGACTTTATTCGTCTAAGGAAGAAACTCAGACTGTTCCTAAATGTGTCCTTATATTTTGACTTGTACGTACAAATTTTTATATGGTGTAATTGCTATTAAAGACTCCTTTTTACCCTTGTTTTCTGGTTCGTTGGTTCATTTAAACTCCAGCCTTTCTGGAGGGTTCAGTTCTACAAAGGCTGATCAGCGTCGACTCATCAACTCCATTTTAATCCAGCAGCACGAAGAACAAGTGTCAGTGAGGTTTATCTTAATCATTTAACCCAGTTTACATTTTCCACCCATCCATTATCCTTATTAGCCTATCCCAGCTACCACAGGGCGAGAGGCGGGGTACACCCTGGACGGCAGTCTACTACAGAGAGACAGACAACCATTCACACCTATGGGCAGGTTAGAATCACCAGTTAACTAAACCACACTAACTGCATGTCTTTGGACTGTGGGAGGAAGCTGAAGTACTCGGAGAGAACCCAACAAACACAGAGAGAACATACAGACTCCACACACAAAGGTCTGGTGGTGGAGTCGAACCCGGGACAGTGGTAACCCCCCCGTTTTGTCCTTAATAGATAATACTTTATTAATCCTGAAGGAAATTATGGAAACCTGTAACCTTAGCAAGTTTTATAGTTTACCTTTAAAAGACAAACTGAATTATTCAGCTGTAACTTCATAGGAACAAAATGCAGGTGGAAATAACTGACGATATGAAAATGTAACCTGTGATGTGTGATGTTGGACATCTTTCATTCAAAGGTTGCTCAAAATCATTTAATGACTATTTTTAAACATGTGACGCTAATTTCAACATGAAGGAGCAAACATCCATGTAGTTGTGTAGATACGTGTCAGGATCTGCTGTGTCACCATCGCTGGCCCTGCACCTCCTGCATAAGAAGTGACAGGCTGCTTCAGTCCTGCAGGTACAAAATGACTTTTTCATTTTCCAGGTGGTAACTATGACGACTGAGAAGCTGCTCACTTGGATGAATTCAAGTCACTGATTGAATAGCAGAAAGATTCACTCGTCATCTCAAGTAGCAAACTGAAAGCAGCAAACACTCAGGATGTAGTGAATGTGATGATGGAGAAGTACAGCCGAGAGTGTGTGGAGGTGACCAGAAAGGCTTTAATGAAGATGAGCAGAATCTGGTGCAGAGATGATCAGGTATCACCTCAGGAACCAAATACAAGTCAAAAACAAATAAATATGTAAAAAACGGACACATGGAGAGGATGGAGAGCAGACAATACATGCCTGCAGGTCCTCTGATGGCCGTCACAGTCACTGCTGGGAAGTTAAATGAAGTTCACCTGCCACACTGGATCTGCATCAGTAAGAGGACATGAAGGCATTATTATTTAACAATAAATTACATTTATGATTCAAGTTTTCTTGTGCAGATGACGTCCCTGACATATTGGACAAGTTTGCAGTCCTTCACATAGATGACTGTGGAGATGTTGTGGAAAAAGTGTCTGATTTTCTCTCCAAGAGCGCTCCTGATGAAAGTGGGCATTCCTGTGGAAATCAACTGTAACGTGTTGATATATCAGACCAACACAGCTTTCCTCACACTGCATGTTTATCTGATCCCACGTGATCCTGGGCTACAGCAGGTTATTACATGTTTCACAGTATAAGAAGGACAATGTGCAACAAATAAATCAGCAGACAGTAAGATTATAATATTGGATCCCTGTAGCATCTTTACACACACACATATAAACATATATATTCTCTCGCTCTGTAGACGATGGAGAGAAGAATCCTGTGGATACAAAATCATCCAAAAGCCGCATCCAGAAAAGTCCTTGAAAATGTTTCATTGTTTCACCCTAAGAGCAGATTTGGATGGTGCAGAAATCTGTCCTCAGGTATGTTGAATTTATTTACTGCTCATTTGATCCCAAAACAATTTATAAATCTGTGTAAGGTCAGTAAATATATTAGTCTGTTTAAATTATATGAATGAATAATCATCAGATTTCTCTCCCTCAGTGGAAAAATATCTTACAGGTTCTTCCTGACTTTATCTTTTCATTCTTTAACAGGCGTTAAAGCTCAGATATGAAAGCAGAACTCCAAATTTCTTTGAAGTGTACATGAAGAATCCAGACAGTGACTTCCAGCTCAGACTGACGCCAGAAAGAGCTTCAGTCAGTTTGGACCCGCACTGTTAGAAAAGGTAAGATTTAAGCACATCTACAAAACTGTATCATCACTGTACCACGTTCACTTTGAAGGTTTATTTTAGTGATCATTATGCAACACAGATGGCAAATGTTCCTGTGATCTCTTTATGCTGGTAACTAAAATGTGAATGAAGAAATAATTCAGATATAAAATAAACACCTGTTCATGGTGAAGTATGTAACTGATGTATTCTCACCATGAAGTAAACTCTCCTGCTGTCTGACCATTAGCTCCAACATGTGTTGACACTGAGCAGTGAGTTGTTGTCTTTGCACCAAACTGCACAGCTGTGCACGGCTGATCTCCTCCAACAGAATGATGATGGTGGTGTTGTCCTCTAACTTCATGAAGATATTCTCTCCATGTCTGTGAGAGCAGTCATGGCTGTTCAACATGAACAGGAGGGTGCTGAGTGCACGACCCTGGGGGGCTCCAGTGTGGCCCTAGAGGGGAGGAGCCGTGATTACCAGTCTGAACAGCAGCCTGTTTGACAGGAAGTCCAGTATCCAGTTGCACAATGTGTTCCTGAAGACCAGAGTGTGGTACCATGTGGTACGCTGGAGCCACTATCAGGGACAAACAGAGACTGCAGCGTGTTGTGCGCTCTGCTGAGAAGGTGATTGGCTGCAGACTCCCATCTCTGCAGGACCTGTACACCTCCAGGACACTGGGGCGTGCAGCTCGGATCTCAGCTGACCCTTCTCACCCTGGACACAGTCTGTTTGACCTGCTCCCCTCAGGCAGGAGGCTCCGGTCCATTCGCACCAGAACCTCTCGCCATAAGAACAGTTTCTTCCCCTCTGCTGTCGGACACATGAACAACCACTAACACATGACCCTACGCTGTGTTCACTGCATCATTCCATGTTTGGCACTGATCACCACCTGCACTCATGTATATATCATGTATATATCTATCTACTTAGCACTTTTAATTCTTATTCTTATATTTTTATGACAGTATGTTTGCACTGAAGCACCGCAGCAATTTCCTAATGTTGTAAACCTGCTCAACATTTGGCAATAAAACCCTTTCTGATTCTGATTCTGACGAGTCTGCCAGTCAGCTTCACAAACAGCCTGCTGAGAGAGAGTTTTTTTATATTTCACATGTATGAAGAGAGAGTGCAGGGCAGTGAAGACGACATCATCTGTGGCTGTATTCAGCTAACGACAGTGCTGACCTAGTAGGTGTGCCTGTTATTCCTCTCTTCCTCCTCCTGCCCTCTACCTGTTCGGTGCTGCTGCTTGCGCATGGCCGCTGTTTAGACCTTGGGTGCAATCAACAACTAAGCGCGGCCTGGTGTGCGCCGCCCTGCCAGGTGAGCCACATTAGAGCAATCAAGGGTGGGCATGCCTAGTAGACCTTAAAATGCATGCAGCAGTCATTTGACCCATGTGCGACATACTGAGAGGACAGCACTACGATCCACTTTTCCACTGTGAGGAAGACTTTGAACAAGACGGGCTATCGGTAAGCTCTTGAGCTCACATTTGCTGCACATATATTTGGAACTATGGAAGCTCAGTTGTGCAAATGTTTTATGCTTAGGGAAATAGTTGCTGCATTTAAGTTTAAAGAAATTATATTGACAAAAAAGAATGCTTAAGTTTGAATAAATTGTTTGTGCAGTTAGTGTTCCCACATATTTATGTTACTTAATATTAAAAATAGTTACCCCCAAATCCTTGGGTGGATCGTAAAACTAGTGAATAAATGTTTGATTTTGATTTAAAGAAAATAATTCTTTGTTAAGAAAATCCTTAGTCTCTATTAAAATGTTTGTAAACTCTAAAATGTATACTTTAAAATACAATTGTTTATAAAAGTGTTAAATGCAAAGAAGACACATTTTGTATATTTAAGAACCACAGTTAAATTAACAGTTAACCACATGGTAAATGGCTTTACTGAAGTGTATTTTGTTATTTCATCTGTCTTCTGTGTAATTTATCTGAATGGTTAATGAAATGTTCTTTATTTTTGTGTTGAAAGGTTTTTTACCTGCTGCTACCTACCTATCTACCTGGTCAAAATAAAGTTGAGTGAAATTCAAAGTCTGGTCTTTTTCAAGTGTGGGCACCTCACAGTCGGAGAACACTTGACAGTTATTATTAAAGCTAACGCCTACTGGTAGATCAGCCCAGTAAATACGGTGTTTCTCTATTTTCACTGGTTCATTTTTTCACTTTCAGATGAAAACCAAAGAAGTGGTAAAGTACAAGGTTAGATGTTTCACATGATTTGTGTATAAAAAGAACTGCACTTTGTGTTTGGCTGTGGTGGGTTCCCTTTGGTATGACAACATTAGTGCTGAATATTGGCATCCAACAATCAGA